GCATTGTATAGTTTATATTGCTTTTGGTTCGTTGTAGATGTTAACCATTTTGACATTTGAAAATGAAAATAATGTATTCTGGTATATGGAAAAAAATGATATATATTGGAGAAGTATTGTTAATTCCTGTAAAATATCTGCAGTATGTATGTTTGCATAGAGTACTAACTGCTACTGATGCTGACTTTACATGAGGTGACTTTTTTCCAGCCATGATTATCCTGCAGTGAACTGATGCATCAGTAATTTCTGCTAGAGCGTTTGTTGTAAAGTGCTACTTTCTTAACACACCACCAGGTGACATGCCCTAAGTGTACCTAGAATTATGGCTAAAATAAAATAAAACAGGAGAAACACTCCAGCACTGCTGTGATTCTTTTCAAAACTACCACAGATGTCCATTTGAGACACCCAAGCGAACCTGTAGCGCCTACTGGGAAAAAAAGCTGACAATGCAAGAGCAACCGACATGCGCCTTTCTTTGCTCATTGGTCACAACACATTTAATAAATATCTTACATCTTATAAATTAGATATGACTCAGGAGTTTCATATCACACGGTACATTTAAGTCCCACTACATAAAACATACATAAGCATAGCATCCTGGCTGCATTTAGCATTTATAATCTGTTGTGCATAATACATACACACTATAGTATAGTACACTCTCATAACACGTATTATGTAGAAATGATGGCCACATTTACCCCAGTCAACAGTGTCAGAATATTGGGACATCTCTTATCCCGGCTTTGTCACATGTTGCACGTGACACTAAAAATAGATATGGTGTTCATTTCTACTTACATAAATTATGACATGATAATGTGTGTCATGTATCATGCACAATGTATTTATGAACATTTAACGCAATCACCCTGCCATGCTTTTGTAGGCATAGCTGTGCTTAATGTGAAATATTACTGAGTTAATAAGATACTGATTTTCGTTCCAGTTGCCTTCTGCGATAATTAGATTTTATTGAGCTGTCAATTGGATGCTCATATTGATTTGACATAGCATAATAAGTATTGGGCAAAAGTACTTAAAGTAGTTACAGGCATTTAAATTAGTGTAAAACAGACACAAAAAAATGGTTTCCAGAAAATGTCACAGTGTAGTCAGTTACTACCTGCTTTGTATCTGTGCGGTAATTATAAAAAGTAATGCTTAATGCAGAATATCATTATATATACTCAACATAGATCTATGTCTTCACAGACCTTGTTGTAACAGTATATAGTAACAGTGCGTCATCTGTCTTATTTTATAACTTTAAATGATTATTGTACTAGTAAATTTAAACTCACTTTGAGCATAGAAATTGCCCTCTGCCTCCAAGCATGCATCTTCTTAACTACACTACTGGGGTTCTGTTCACCTAATTACAGACTGACAGCTGAGTCAGAGTATACATGACAGTGACCCCCAAATGTTCAGTGAGTACACTCAGAAAATGTCTTTGAAATGTAAGCGTTTGTGTACCAATGTAAGAATTTGTGAAAAAGATATGCATTATGGCGTGGAGCAAGCATTCTTCCTCATACCGGTAATTAGGTAGGACTGATTACCAGACAGTTACAGCTTTTCTTATGGCCTCATTACTCGTAAGTCATTATTCCAATTTATTAATAATCAATAATCATAATAATAATCATAATAATCATATACTTTATTGATCCCTCATGGGGAAATTCATCCTCTGCATTTGACCCATCCTACACACACAGTGAGCTGTGAGCACACACACACACACACCAGCAGTGAGCACACACACACCAGGAGCCAGGAGCAGTGGGCAGCCACAGTGCAGCGCCCAGGGACCACCTCCAGTTCTTTTTGCCAGTGCCTTGGTCAAGGGCACTGACAGGAGTATTGACCCTTACATGCATGTCTTTTGATGGTGGGAGGAAACCGGAGCGCCCGGAGAAACCCACGCAAACACGGGAGAACATGCAAACTCCACACAGAAAGGACCCGGGACAGCCAGGATTTGAACCCAGGACCTTCTTGCTGTGAGGCAACAGTGCTAACCACTGAGCCACCGTGTTGCCCTTGGATTCAGTGCCCTTGGATTGGATTCAGTGTCACAAGAACATGCTGTCTGAACATCTGTCAGCTCCGTGTCTGACAATGTTTTTACTAGGAAAGATGAATAAAGTTGTAATGTGAATACTGCATTGAACGATGACATATTACATGCAAAATCTATGAAGCTCAATTTATACTTTATAGTGACATTTTGTATTCTCCTCACCATCATTTGGAGGTTCTGAAATGTGCTTAAGTACGTAGTGAATCATTTACATTTACATTTATTCATTTGGCAGACGCTTTTATCCAAAGCTACTTACATAGGTTACAGTTCTTTTACAATGTTATCCATTTATACAGCTGGATATTTTACTGAGGCAATTGTGGGTTAAGTACCTTGCCCAAGGGTACAACAGCAGTATCCTAGCGGGGATCGAACCGGCAACCTTTCGGTTATGAGTCCTGCTCCTTAACCACTATGCTACACTGCCGCCGCCGAATGCCGCTGAATCATGGATTGAACCCTTTAGCTAACGATACCCAGCAGATTATGATAATGAAAAATATAAACGTCAGCTCAGTTATTATTTACCTTTACATTTATTTATTCATTTAGCCGACGCTTCTATCCAGAGCGACCCACGAGAAGTAAGTTTATTACTGATAGGCAATTAGCTGTAGAGATGCTGAATCGTTTCTGCCATTGTTTAAATGCCGTGCCATTGTAAGAACCATTGCCACAATGAGAGCAAGTGCTGTCATGTGGTGTACTAGCTTAGATTATTGCTGCCATTTTCCTGCCACCAGGTTTGTGTCTTTGTAAGTCTGTGTTGCCACCATCACACATTTATGCCACAGCATAACAGCAAAGTGCTATTTGGCTTTTATTGTCTATGATTAAATCACTATCTGTTTTACAATAACTAGTTTTTTTTTTTTTTTTTACAGTGTTCGGGGAGGGGTCAGTGCAGGGAGAGCCCAGATGTAATATAAATAAGTGGAGTCTGAAAAATGGACAGTGATCATGTTTTGACAGTTATGTTAATGATAATATTTCTTTATTGTTACTGTATTTGAATGCTGCCAGCATAAAATATTCTGCTGGATATCACTCTGTTGCAATGCTAGTGACTACATTAGTCAAAGACTATGAGAAATCAGTGGAAATTTCTGCAATTATACAAATGATGGTTTAATTAAGTTAACAGCAGTAGGCGGGGACACAATTAAAGAAGTAGATGTTTTCACAGGGTTGGAGTTTCCTGCTCTAATCTCACACAGGCACTTTCAAGCACGTTTGCTTTGCTCTGTTGTTCCTGACTTTGTGCTGTTCTGACACGCTTCCCCATCAAGGAAATGCCCAATAACTCAAAAAACACGAAATACGAAGGGCCTTGAAGAATGAAAAAAGTAAGACGCGTCCAAATAGTGAACACACAGTTTTAGTGCAAACCAAATTCTCTGCACAAGAAAGCCCCAAAGCACACAGGACCCTTCGGTTGTGCCTCTGTGTGATGGAAGAAAATTAAAAACCCAGTCCTGATGCCATGTCCTCTGTGGATGCAGCAAGTGATATTTAATATGGTAACCATAGCGATGGAACAAAGGAGAGAAGGGTTTGCGATGTAAAGTGGAGAAAGTGTCTCCACTTAATTAAGGAAGGACTATTCCGCTTGATCGTACTGAAACAGACCTTAAACCACAATCTCTGACGAAGAAGCCGAAAAGAAATCTACCAACGCATACAATGGAGGACACAGAATTAGACGTCTAACAACATTCAATCCTCTGTGGGCTACAAGAAATAACAAACTAAGCCCATATAATTAGATTTGAGTTTTACATGGAAAGTATCACTTAAATCTCACAGTTATTAGTCAGGGGGTTTGAGCAAGTACTGCACAACAGAAATGTTGAGGAACATATTTATTTATTGTTTTTTCCATCAAAAGGCATTATACACACAAGAAGAGACACAAAATGTTACTAGATAAAAAATATTCACTGGCTCATTGGCTCAGTGGCTGTTTCTGATATTTTTTTTCTTTAGACGAGGAAAATATACTGCTACCACAATGTCAAATGCCTGAGGAAAAACAAATGAGCTGAGATGATCCACCATCCATACTGGAAACTGATCTGAATTTTATTCGTCAGGTGCAGGTGAATTATGAAGTCACCCTGTACACCACAGGTAGAGATGGATGGACCACAGAGAGGCAATTTGTTATTGACTGTTGACATGTGAGAAAATGCAATAGCAGAGCTTTCTAGAAACAAAAGAGTGAGCGAGGGAGAGAGGTCAAAGGTCAACGTCTTTCTGTCACAGGCTTTCTTATCACTAAATTGATCTGGAGGAATGCACAATTGAGGCTCTGTACCAACACAATTATAAATATGGTTACACCAGAAACCACCATATAGTTACAATACAACCCCCCCCCCACCTCCACCGCCACATCAGCAACAAACAAATTAAACCAGCCACAGTCAAACATCTGAAATGTACAAGTGTTTAAAATAGCCATACCATATACCGTTCTAATTAGACTTTCAGATCAGAGTGGCTGAAACAAAGGGTTTCAGTCCTGTTTTAACGTCCTGTCTCTGTGTCACACTACACCCCTTCCCTCTGCCCTATTGAAATCCTGAGGAGTGCCACCAGAGGGAGAGAGCCAACGTGTATTCTTTATATTGACCAGACAATCACCATTGTGTGCTTCACATTAAAAGCTCAGTCTCTCATACTGGTGAAGACATAGGTGCTCTGATAGGCTGGCTTGCTGCAAAGGGGCGTGGTCTAGAACACAACATCCACAGCTAGCACAGAGGCGTTACATTACATTATTGTCATTCCACAGACACTCTTATCCAGTGCAACTTACGTAAGTTTCAATTTTTGCATACTATCCATTTATACAGCCAAATATTAACTGGGTTAAGTACTTTGCCTAAGGGTACAATGGCAGCAACCCAACAGGGAATCGAACTGGCAACATCTCGGTTACTAGCCCTGCTCCTTACCACTACGCCACACTGCCACCGCAATCAGCCACAGATAGCACAGGAACCTATGAAAAGGGAAAGCATGGAGCTGTATATCTGGTCTTAAAATGGAGTATCTGTGTATGAGTCACTGCCAGCCTCCGGGCCTGCCCTGCCCTGGTCTTACCCTCATGTAGACGGCAGAGCACAGGACAGGTTGTGTCACAAAACAGCCGCAGGAGGGATAAACCAGTATGAACCTGTATCGGCTTGAATTGGATATGTTATATCCTTTGAGAAGTATGCGTCATTCTTAAAACAAAAAAAAAAAAAAGAAAAAATGTCAGCACCATTTTAACATGCAAGAAAAGGACATATTGCAATAGATAACCGTGCTTGTTGTCCTTGTTACTAGCTAGTCAGAGCTAGCTTATGGGATTTCATAATACGTGCTGAAGGGTTTAGTTACAAATTTGATTGCTCGGATTTAGCTAAGCTTATGTTGGACACTATGGCTTGTCTTCATTATTAGGCAGCTCAAAAGTCATTTATGAGGTGATAAAGAGAACCTTTCAGACAACAGAGGTAAAAGACAGGAAAAAACGGACTTGCTGCACAAGTGATTGTGTAAATATCATCTTTACACATTACAAGACATTTTGGTTTCGGATGTCCTTCCCTAAAGAACACTGCCGCAAGCAGTAGCACGGTTCCCTAGACCTTGTCTCTACTCAGTGTACAGACGTTAGAGCCCTGGGCCCAATTATGAGAGGGTTGGGGGCTGGAATCAGAGGGTGAGCCGTAGATTAAAGCAATTCATACTCCACATGCAGACTAATTTAGGGATGCTATTTTGGTGGTGCTAACACATACTAATTTTAAAAGTAGCCAATTACTGTAGCTAGCCTGCTATCACTAAATATACACTATAGATACACCCTGTACATCTGTGGATTGACAGTTGGGGACAGCTCTGTGATTATGGCTATTATAACATTATATCAACACATATTATAGCTGTTATAGCTGTGCATATTCACTATTTTTAAGCAATCAACAGTTTCCTGAATGCTGTACTCCACAGTATAATAGACCTACATAAGTTTTAGCACAAAAAAGCTACATTTCTGTAAACTCGGGCCATTAATTTCAGAGGCAAGCTGTCATTCCTGGCTTCCCATAAATTTCCAAAATTACTGTAAACAAAAATTCCACAAATATATAAATAATCCTTGATCTTGCATGCAGCTTGGCTACACTATGGCGCCAAATCTTGGCTCAGTAGAGTCTGGTTCTTGTCTTTGTTTTCCCATCTCTACGCTGAACAGATGCCTGATTACTGAATTACTGGGGCAAAAAACGTTATGTATTCTCAGTGTGGTGCAAACCATCTGCATGGCAAACATTGACAGCACAGCCAGTCAAGCATTTCCCTATGCCATCTTTGACTCACATCTTATGTTATAGATAGATAAATGGATAGATAGATAAATGGATAGATAGATAGATAGATAGATAGATAGATAGATAGATAGATAGATAGATGTTACTGCAGGTGTACAAGTTAGAGAGGAACTGTCAATCTGTTCACCTATTGTCTTTAAAGCTTTTAAAACTTTCTCACCTGTAGCAGCAACCTTAAAAATAAATATACATCTTAAGGATTGTGCTTTTATGTCAGAGTATAGGCTGAAAACAGAGGTGTGTGGATCAAAAGATTTTCGGTAAATACATTAATAAAAAGATTTGCGCTGAGCATTGAGCTGTTCACCAAAATTCTTTTGATCCAAAATGCCTCTGCCTTTAGTCTGCAGGCTAAACTAAGAGAGTGCACCGCACATATAATAAAAATTTAAGTACTGAAATCACCCCGGCAGCTGGCGTCTGCTGTGCTGATCAACGAACAGCAATATTTGCAGTTTCTGAACGCACGGTTTGGCGTTCCCTAATTTGGCTGTATTACTTTCCAGTGGTTGGCATTTCTTCGTTTGAGCTCAACAATCTGAAAAAAGATGAGAGGGAGGGAGCCCAGAGTGTGAATGCTGTCCAACTCTCTTTCTAACACGGAAAGAAAGGCCTTTCATCAAACAGTTTTTCAAACTTTTGCAAACTTTTTTTTTCCCCAGATCAAAGGTGTGCCTCCTTCAGGTGAGACACAAACTTCCTTGGTGGTGCATTTGAAAAGTGCATCCAATTACTTGCAATTACTCTCCGTGCAAAGTTGATCTAATGTTCTTTTCGGTCTGGCATATTCTTCGATGTTTCTGAAAACAAGACGTGAGCTGGGAGACATGAAACCTCTTCCTAGATTTTAAGAGAATTATGCACACAGTCTTTTTCCTGCGAGACCCCAATTCTCTGCCACCGAAACAGCACGGGAGGGTGGAATTGAGGAAAATGGTACAAGGGAGCTGTTCACCGAGAGAGAAACGAAAGTAGAGGAGGAACGGTGAAATGAAAGAGAAAGTTTTAAAACTCTCTGGGGGCCTCTGGAGAGCATGGAGGAAAAAACTTTCACAGAATATCTAACAGAGAGGAAGTTGGCTGGTTACAATTCCTATCAGCATTTTCTCCAGTGTGACTTTTGGGAAGAACAGACAGTTAATAAATATGATAAGAATTTTGGCTTATTTGAATGACTTATTTCACATTCCGTGAGCTTGCAGATGGCTTCCGCAGTCTTTCTCAGAAGCAATGATCACCCTTTCTCCAGGACAATACTGATAACCTTATTTCAGTCCTGACTAATCAGGATAAAACCATAAAATAGTTATCAAAGGACATTACATTCTGAGCCATCGCTGAAGTATAAAAAACCCATTTACATATAAGTCTGCATCAATCTAGTCTTCTATGAGGATTTATTTCGAAAACAGACATCCTGTTCTGATTTAATAGACTCAGTTGTGGTCTGGGAGAAGAGCAGCTTCTGTACTGTGACATTGTTTTTGAACTTTAGCTCCCTTTTGCACTGACAGAGATTGCTCTACGAATCATTCAAAGGTCGATCAAACTTTCAAACTACTAGGTTAGATCAATGTTAGAAGTACGAGACTGCGAGTGCACATTACATTTTGCTCTTTATGACATCACAGGTGACCAAGAGGCAACGCTTGACATCCATTTGCTGTCATTTTGGAGCCTGAAGTACATTTTTCAATGTATTTTTTCTCTACTGGATTTCAAACAGATGTGAGATAACAGAAACTTTAGCACATTAGAGAGGGTCATTGTCTGGTCTATGGCTTTAGAGAGTGTGTGTGTGTGTGTGTGTGTGTGTGGCAGCCATTTGGATGAGGCAAGGGAAGCCAAGTCTCCTCTAAAAATTAATGAAAAGTTTTTTTCTAATATTCCACCTTTTTTCTTGACACATAATAAAAAATGCCATATATAAAGCAACATTGCCTGTAACTGTTGCTTTTGAAAATATTTGGTTAAATAATACTAACTATAGAACATTGAAGACTCCTCTTTCTAGTTCAAGTCAATTGAAATCTTTTAGAAAGATGGATTTAAACTGGTATAAAGTAGCCAAAATTCTCCCTTATTATAGTTTTACTGTTTTACAGAGTTTTACAATTATCCTGTTGTGAATCCTTAACTAAGATTAAAAAAATAAACAAATAAAATTTACAAAAGCATTGCCAGCGTGCATTCTTGTGTCTGAGGTGTTCAAATGATTATTGAGACTGATTTTAAGTAGGATTGGAATGCCAGTGTATTGAGTGAAGCCAAGGTGGTGATTGCAATAGTTCTCTGAATGGAATGCATAAAAGAGAAAGGTATACATGCATACAACAAACAGCATCTTTGTGACCAGAATGAAACGGTTACTTCTGACTGTTGTTTTAGTTCGTATAAATGGTACGCATGTGTTATGTACTTCGTAGATCTAAAAATAGCCTCCACATATTTGTACAATGTATGTTTTTTGTTAAGTGAACATAAATTTAGATGGTGGCTAAAGATATATTCTGTAATATGTAAAAATAAAAAACCTTACTTCTTAGCTTTTATATTATTATTATAAATCCATCATTGGAAAAAAATATCCTGCCACCAATATGACAGAGCAGTGGCCAAAGCACATTTTCTATCCATTCTGTGAGGAACCTGTAAGCAGGCAGCTGGCTGGCCAGCAGTCCGAGATGACAGGTGGTTTTGTAGGGAAAAGCGCACAAAAAACATCCAACAAAAGCATTCAGCAAAAGTATCCAGCACACTTGCATAAACTGTATCTTTCCCACCTACAGAGCTGGATTATATTAGATCTGGGGACAACAGCAAAACAGTGCAAACTGCAGGACATGAGTCTGACCTGCCTAACTAAATGATTTCCTCCTGCTCTGATGGCATAGTATGTCTTCCACATGTGTTCATATGTCCACATGCACTGTTTATCTCAGTGGTTCACTTGGTGTGATCTTCCTACACACTCATTGGTAACGACTGCATTCTAATTGAGCAGCTACAGAATGTCACCCTTTTTGACAGCATGTCTTGATTTCACCCGGGATTGGCCATAATTAGGGCATGCCTTTAACGGCCCTCTGCTGTAAACAAGAGGTGTTCCTATGAAATATAGATGACGCCGCGTTGCCTTTCACAGCTTAATGAGAGCGAAAGAGGGGGAGACAGAAATGAATCATTTATGAAGAGAAACAAAGATGAAGAGAACACCCAACTTCAGATCTGCGCCCCTTGTTGTATTTCTAAAACTCTTTCCCAGTACCAACACATGCTCCATTGCATCCCATTAGAATCACAAAGTACCGTTTTGTCGGCGCCTCTCTGTACTCCACATGCAAACAGCTATAATATTCAAGAAATGAAAATTCTTCAGTTTTACATATGCCATTTGACAAGTTATTTGCCTGTCTCAAATGTATTCAAAACAGTGTCAGGCCTGGTCTTGGTAATTTCATGGGGTCTCTGCTTCCACTACAAATCATAATAACCATCTCTTTGACTAATTTCCGCCAACGGCCTCTGATTCTCTTGCTGCCGTGGTGGACGGGGACCCCTTCGGAACAAAACATACACCGCACGATGATCT